CGGCGGGCGGCGGTTCGGATGTGCCTCGCGACGACGTCTCTTCCGGCCGCCGGTGCTGTCTGGCCCGCCGCTGACTGAACCTGATCAACGGACACCGGAATATTCCCATGACGGCGGTGGCGGCGGTTCCAAGCGGATCAGTCTCCGGCGGCGGCGGCGGCGGCGGCGACGACGGTGGTGGCGGCGGTCGCGTACCGGCGGCATTCAAAACGAACGCGACGGAAACCTGCACGGGCAGCGGTGCCGGCGACAAACGCCGCCGACTTGCTGATGGTGGTGGCGGCGGCGGTGGTAGTACCTAGTAGGCAGTGGTAGTAGTAGTAGTAGTTGTTGATGTTGTCGTAGTAGTAGTGATACGGCGACGAGCGATATCGAAAAACAACAGCGGCGGTGAGCGGAGAAATGCGCGCGCGAAACATACGGTCCGCGGACGAGAGAACAGTACAGCCGGTCGGCACGTATGGGAACCGGTACGCGGCGCACGACTATATTATTGTACGGGACACGCGTGTTGTACGGGCTTAGTAACCACGGTCCGGGCCGCCACCGCCGACCGAGCCGACACCGGTCTCGCGCCCCACCGGTTACCGTTGCCGCCGCCGCCGCCGCCGCCGCCGCTTCGGGTGGGGCGCACGCACCGCATGTCGTTCAGGTGTGGAATTCCAATAATCCGGCAAGAATGCGCGGCGGTGGCGGCCGAGGGTCATCTGTGTGGAGCAAGGTTGGTTTGTGTGCGGTGCGTTTTTGTCCGCACACCGTGTTTATGTCGTTTGCGGGCGTTGTTATTATTATTGTTATTATCGATCGGCATACGTTGCTTTCAGAAGATCAGATCTTTCGACGATATTTTCAATCCGACGCCCTGCCACCTGAATCGACCAGAAAAAGCAAATACCCTAAACACCTGTAGACATTTTTAACCAATGCGTGATTCTGATCTCGGAAGACCACGGACACGGTGCAAGACGTCCACAACAGTGCTCACACTGCTCCTACACCACACATATACGTTACGTCGGCGGTTTCTGATCGTGTACAGTTCACGTTCACCCCAATCACCGCGCGCCGAGAAACGACGACTAAAACGTCAACCGTGGTGCAACACGTCTTATTATTATGTTGTCCATATCGTTCAGATGTTATCAGATCTCCAATAATAAAATAAATTACAAACCACGAAAATATATTTAGAAAATGCTGGATGTTTTAGCAAAAAAAAACTCATCACTCTTTTCAACAGGCAAATTAAATTTATCGACCCAATTTTTACACAAGACCTACAACTTTGTTTACATTTACGTATGGGATTCGTAATTATTTACGGTCTCTTTTCTTGACCATATTTACACAAACATTTTTTTTTAATATTCCAATAAATTAATAACATAACGGTATAACATTTGATAACTCAAGCGTGATAACTGTTTACATTATTATAACTAATTTAAAAGTAATATATGGTCAATAAGTGTAGAAAATCAATTAAAATTAACTGTTTTGTTAATTGGAAACAAATAGAGGAAAGAATACCACAAGTCATAATATACCATGAACGATATCATAGTATTATCATTAGTTATTTAGTATTTACATTATAGATACAATTTAGGTATAAGCATTAAGCTAATGATCATTTCAATCTATAGTATAAACTTTTTTCACCAAAATATATTTTATGTAAGCATTAATATACATGAAATAATTTAATAAATGTTTTTTCTTAGCTATTTGTATAAAACTATAGACATTTTAAGTTTTAAACTTTTTAAAATGTTTTTTTTCAATTTATGAAGATAATATTGTTTTCTTTCCAAAAAATCCGAATATTAAAAATACTTAACTTAAACTAGTTCAAACAAATGACTAACATATCCACCATTGTCTATTCTATAAAAACATACACACACATATACATCTACAAACATTTTATTGTTATATAATGTAATATGTATACACGAGTTACTCATGCTTTAAGAGTTAATAACTATTAAGGCCATAGCCATTTAAAAAATGTATTAAAAGTTAAATCGAAATCTTTTAAAATTTAATTTTTAGAATTGTGTAGTGTACATATACCTACTATTTATTATATATATGTATCACTAATAAACATCCATAAAAACAGGTTTTTTAGTCATTCGTCATCGCGAAACTATTTCTAAATCTGAAAATAAAACTGATTTTTATTTGAAGTACTAAAATGAGGTGTAAAATTTCTTTTTAACTTTTCATTAGACTTCCAAACCAAAACGAACATATAATTTATTTGTTACTCAAGGACAAGCGTTACGTATGTATATGTTTATAATAAATACAAAACACAGAACGAAATGTTTGGTCTCCAACATTAACAAAATACGGCCTTCAAAATACTCGGTATGTTTTTTTTGGCAAAGCATATAGTACCTCGTCATTAAAAAACCATCGTAATGGAATCATAAAAATAATGACTAGTAAATTGCAACATTGAAAATTATTGTTATTGTTTTTTTTTTTAGTCATATTATATATTACAATAATTAACATAATGCAGTTGTGAATGATGTATGGGTGTGAACTTGTCAGTTCATCGTATAGTATGCGCATATTAAACGCACATGTTAATGAAACATCAAATCAAATGGCATTGGGTATAATTCGAGAAAAAAGTAACAAATTATTATTTTTTTAAATCACAAATGATATCAGTGTCATACTGTCATATATTCTCAAACTAAACTGCACTTTGCAAAATATTTTATCTAGATCGGTGTGTGGTCCAAACATCTTCCAGTCAAGCCTATCTGTGAAACGTCTCACACTTCCAAGAAAATGTTCCGAAAAACTGTTTAAACATCAAATATTATACCTACTTCATTTTTTTATCGAAATACAGTTTGATAATTTAATTTATGTCATTTTTGTTTTCTTAATAATAATATATTCTAGATGACGAGGTATATGACGAATTACTCGACATCTACAGCCTACAGCAGACCTGTTACCTACTTTCCTATTTTTTTTGTAATTAAAATTGAACTTTTTAATATACTTATAAGTTATAACTAAAATAAGTACCTACGTTGAATAGGTTTTTAAAAAAAGAAACATGGATGTGCACATCCTTTTCTGGTGGACACTATCTATATAATATATATGATTCATTAAAGATAATATACTTTATTTTAGATCAAAAGAAATGACATAAGTACTAAGATTTTCAATCAAAAAAAGTAATCGTATTTTGGTGAACATTGACGTCCGTGAGCCTTGTACACGCAAATTCAATGTTTGATTCCACTCACCACCGTATATATTTCAAATAAGTCTGGATAGTGGAGTTTAAGTCACATACAAATATTAGATCATCAAAATCAAAATTTCTTTTGGGGAAAAAAGAACACGTATATTTTATATCTTAGTGACCCATGGCACAAAAAAGATTAAGAACCCTTGAGGAACAAACTAATATTATATTGTACATGTACTCCTGTACTACAGTAAGTATAGTATATTATTTATGTTGATTTGTAAATAAAATAAATAGTTTCTTAAAAAAAAATCATGTAACATAGAGTATACAATAACTAATTTTAAAAACAAAATTTACTAAGTGAAATATTTCGGCGGCGTATAAATATACAATTTAATATTCATGAAATATGAAGTCGATTATATCTAATTAAAATGGAAATGTTCCCAAAACAATAACAACTTTGATAAATAATAGTGTTTTATGTTAAGTTTTGATTTGGAAATGTGTACTCGAGTGTACATATTTTGTGGTTCACTCGTTTTCGTTCAAAATATAAAGGAATGGAAATGAACACGTCCGCAATATTATCATAGCACACATATAGAACACAATGGTTCGCTGGTCCTTGCTCCGGTTCGCTAACTTTCGGACACATGCAATGGATCTCCCATTCGCACGGTATACATATTAATATTTGTCTCAATGCGTGCTATATGATATAAATATAGCTTCACGTGACCAATATATTAATACCTATTTAATATGATCTATCAAACCAAGTCTTCAATCCGTTGAACTTAATAAAGATGCATAACAATATAGATATACCACTTGATACTCGGGAAAATAATTAAAGGAAATATAGGATAACAAGGTTTAAATCCAGCATGAAAAAATATAAGCATCTATATAACAACATGTACTATTTATGAAGAGATACTATTTACATGTATAGCAGTATATATATGACATTTATGGCAGTACATTACTTAGTTTAAAGGAAGAAAAAAATCTTAAGATGTTCAGCTTCTGCTTTTATCTTATAGGATTTCTTAGGCGGTTATAACATCTTTGACTGGTTTATTATAGCTAAAATGAGATAGGTAAATACCTGTAAATATAATAAATACCTGCTTATTTGTATTATTTTATTATTTTTGTATAATTATCTGTTAATTTATTTATTTAAATAATTCAATCAATATCAAATTAAAAATTTACTTAATAACAATGTATATGTGTTAGCAATAACAGAAAATAAATTAAGATTAAACCTTAGTAAATTGTACAAGAATTCACGATATATAAAATAGCTTTGTTTAAATTCTTTACTGTCAGTATTGTCATTACCTACTCATTCATCAAATACTTTTTATAAGTTTTGATTGTCTATGTACGTAAAAAAATATGATAAATGGTTCAATACTGTAATGCATAGCATGCTTTTTCGTGCATACCTATCAAGAATCAATTAAGTAGGTACAATATTGTGTCTTTTTCAATAACAAAAATATTGGCGGGAAACGTAAACAAGTTTTTCCACAAGCATCTATACTCTATAGGTTTTTATAAAAATAATTCTACGTGTTACTCAAACCAGTTTAGCAATCGACATTGTTATGAACGAGTTATTCATATTTCCAACAGAATGTACTTATTCGACTCAACCCTAAAAGTTGTAAAAATGGTATTTCGATGGAAATATCGAATTCGATTGATCAGTTACAAACGTATATTAAATGTGTATATTATTTATACCACTTACCGGGTCGCCGAAAAAGCCTGTAGATTCCTTCATTCCATTAGGCCTCTGAGTGTCGTCTCTTCATGATTTCTGTAATAACAAATGAAATAATTATAGAATAAGTGTACCCACGGTACCCTATTATTTTTACGGCTCGTAAGCTAAATAACTCTATAACTTATAAGTAGGTATTCATAATTTTTTTATTCCCAGACAATATATTTCATTCTGATAAACTATACTAATACGCCCAAAAACTGAACAAAAGCCAAGTTGGCCAAACGCCCATATATTTTACTATAATAACGGCTGCCTATAAAGTAGAGAAAATATAAATTCCAATGTACGTACTAAAGATATTCAACGATCAATTAACGTCGAATGCAGTACTTATAATATTGACTATTGATACAACATCCCATATCTCAATAATATTAGTGCCAGTTGCCACTAACTACTACGGTGTTAATTAGAACCATCGAAATTATATCATTAAGTATCTATATCTATATGTTGTCATACGTTTTTTTTATTAAAACCATTTAAATCATCAAAAATATAATTTATATTATTACAAATATTGAAAAATTGAATTGGGGAATCTATCCCCCTCAACTACAGCCCACCCGTTTGACCGACACTGGTTCAAATCTATAAAACGTTCTATGTTATCGACATCTACATTACACATACATTGTGAATTATGAACATGGGTATTTTTCGTCAAAATATATAACATGAACATTGTACATGCCTATTGTTCATGCCCTATTTTACAACAAACACCGTATTGTTGTTAATCGTTGTACATGACTACTCTCAACTGAGTAGAATATCCGTTAGAAATAAATTGATTTTTCACATCACATCATCCTTTGTGAAATCAATATTTATTTTTTAAGTAAGAAAATAGTAAATACTTAATACTTAAATCTAAATGTATTCTGTAAACTAATAATTTTACCTACAGTTTATTAATAAAGTAATCCAATATACGACGACAAAAAAAATGAGCAACCTTCAAATTATTTAAAATAATTCTATTAAAATTAAAATTAAATTAATCGATATTACATGCTTAAAAATAATTGTTCACGTTGTGAGTAGGTTACTGCAATAGGAAGGAGTGCAGTACACGACCGGGGACGGTAACTATACTAAAAACAAGGTGCAGAAAGTGGATATTTGGCTTTCATCTCATTTCGAAGAGCAGTCATCTTGGAGAAAGGTTTTAAATTCAATGATTAAAATATTAATAATTGACTAAAATATTTTTTATTTATCATTTTACTTCAACTATATGCGTTATTAGAGTTTACCTATTGAATAAAATATTTATATAGTTAGGTATAAACCTTTAAACACCTATACAAAATATACGAATTTACGTTTTTAACAATTTTCTTAGAACTCAATCAGCAATCTGATAAAACATTTGTATGAAGATTCTTTATTATTTTATTTAAATCTAAAAAAAAAAACATTAATTACTCAATTGACTCACGTATGCGTAACTATATAGTCTAATTGAACACCATCACTGACATTAAACCTTAGACTGTTTTTTTCTATACAGTTTTCTTTTTAAACTTAGACGCAGTTTAAAACAAATATATTTGTAACTAATAGAGCGACATAATAAATAGTATTTTTTACTACTATCTATAGCAACTCTCCTCAAATGCAACTCAATTTTCAATCAAAACTCAAGAATTTTAAAATATGGATATAAATATATATGAAAATATCCCAAAATCCATACCTACTTTACACTACCAATACCTTGATATTTTGCCAATAATATGTTTCCATGAAAAATATAAATAAAAATCACAAAAAACAAGGAAAGTTTAAATATAATTTTATCTCAAACGAATAAATAAATAATTATACGTAATAATATGTAGGTACACATATTTTTATTTAATGTTTTGAGTAATTGATGTAATTTCTAAGTAATTATTTCATATTCATACAAAACATAATTTTAACTTATGAAAGTATTAAAACAATAAGTAAGAGACAAGTTTTTTATAAATTAATATCTAAGCCAATACAAAACTGATACTTATAATTTAGAACACCTAGGTACGTTATTTTAACATAAATAAACGTAGTTATAAATAAAAAAGAAAACACGGGAAAATCGCTCTGCAGTGTAGGTCACTAAAATGGGCCAAGTCACTGAAATGGGTGTGTTAAATTTGAATTCAATGATAAATCATAAAATAGTAAATACGGTGAAAAACGATTCTGAACAAATATTTTTAAGAATATTTTATGATATATTTATACTGCCTAATCTATTTTGCTATTAGTTATACAGTATGTTGAACTAAATTTTTCCAAAAATGAATCTCTAACTGTTATTAATGTAAGTCAATACCAAAATACCATAGTACGGTGTGAAAACTGAATAGATTTATGGTATAAGGTGGAAAATATAAATAGCTCTAAATATTTTGAAAAGTTCATTATTTATATTATAATCATAAAATAACCTAAAAACGCAAGGTTACAAGTCCTCCCGAATAATATTTATGAATTACAACAAAATAACAAAAGCCGTTCGTATTATTTTACATGTGAATATCCAACTGCAATATAATTCCAACGTCAAACACTTTAAAGAAATAAATTTAATTATTTATTAATAAATTCTAGTCGTTATAAGTTATTTAAATTTCAAGCTTTTTATTTAAAAAAATGTTGTCAACAAAAGTATTGCAAAAAAACTAGGTAAATTTTAAAATTTTAAATGTCTATAAAAGGTCAAATTTATTTTGAAAATCATACTATGGTTAGAGAACGCTAATATAAGTACTCAGTAAAAATGTCAAGTATCTACGGTTTTTGATTTTTAACTTACAACAAAATAAAAAACGTTGTTAAAAATTAATGTTGCAAAAATATTAGTTATAATATTTTTTTTTTCTTCGATTATTTTGTAAATCACTTCAATTTTTTTAAATTTTTATCTTCAAACTAACAACTAGATCTAATTTTCTACCACATATCATCTTCAGCTCCAAATGGTGATGACTGATGACGCCGTGACGGACACCAAAATTAAATTTTAATACACAATATTTTATACACCAACTTTATTGATCCGATCAGGACTTAAAATTAACTGTCATTAATACGTTTTTTTTGTACATCCAACAAGTTACGTCTTACATGTACTTATTACACAAACTCAACAGTTATTTTTGGTAGAACTCCATGTGGATTTGGTACATTATGACCTAATGAGAATCTAAACAATATAATTGGTGAATCCTCGTTGAATTCTTACGATATTATAATTTTAATTTCACAAAAACTAGGGTCAATTATGAACGCAAATAAGTTTAAAATTTTGAGTCACTTATTTCCTCACTTATCATGAATCAAGCTGTTTATTTGTCCGAAACATGTCTAAATTGAACTTATAAATACATGTACCTATTTAACTTTTAAAATAGTAAAAATACAATAAAAATAGTTGAATGCATAAGAAAAACATTACATACAAAACAAAAACCTAATAATAACTACCAGTCTTCGATAAAAATTGCATATTGTATTTTTGACAAAAAAAAAATTTGATATTAATAATTTATTGGCCTAAAAAACAATCAGCTGTCCATGTACTTACTAATAAGCCACCGGCTATAAAACAATTGCATACAACGTTAACCTGCATGTTTCCACTCAAATTTAAACTTTACTCTTATATCATGCATTCGGGTATTCCACACGGGTATCACCGTATTCGCCCAAAATGTACCCTCCCTTTTTCGGCCAGAACCTATATTGTATCAAAAACTTTGATTTTTTAAATGATTAAATTTTTATAATTGATAAACATATTATTAACTTCCTAGAATAAATTAACAATTAATTTATGTTAGAAAAATGTTACTATTTTTATAGCCTTTACTTTTCAATGTAAGTTTAATTTTGTTCATAGTTGGTTTTTTGGAACTAAAGATAAACCAGTATTATCCCTTATTAGTTGTTTGATATAATTTAATGTGAAACGCGGCCAATCAGTTATAATGATGTGTCCTGTAGACTGTATAGGCAATAGAGTATAGTATGGTAATATAGAGAGTAATGCCAATATGTTATACCTTATAGTTTCCATCTTATCTTATAATAATATATTATATTAAAGACATTATGGAAAATCAATTAAGTATATGTTATCGTGGTTATTAATTTAACACGACACACACACATACATTATTTGAAACACTCAATAAACACTCTGTATGAAATATATATATATGTATTATAATACTTAATTCATTTGTAATATGTCTTAATAGTTTATAGCCAATTGTTTTATTTTATTATTTTTTTACACAGTTGAAGGTAATAATGTAAATAAAAAAACTACTGGCCGAAAAGGGGGCCGGCCTTTCCACTACATGGAAAAAAACGAACCCATAGCCTGTACTCGGCAGGGATGTATTATAATAATGAGATAGGTACACACAACTCACAAGATTCACTGTACACACAAGAAGGCGATTCATCAATAATCAATAATATAGACATAACACGGTGCAACTATAACAGTTATTATTTTGTACAAACAACGTCCATGGTTTCTATTTGTGTGGAAAGATAATGAACTAGAGAAAATAAAACATTGACACACACGATGCAGTGGTTAAGGATTTGCGTAAAACTCGCCGCTGTCACATGGTCGTAGAATTTTGGGTAGGTTGTGTAGGTACTGCAGAGGTGCATGTCAGGGTGGCGTTAATCGTTACAATATATACATACAGTCGGGCGCGCCCGTGATTTATTGCCGAACGCTATTTCCCGGACGTTTGTCGTCATTTCCATTCGACCGTATGTGTGCGTGAGTAATATATATATATATATATATATATAGAGTGAGAGAGAGAACATGTAACCCGGATGTACGGTGGTGTTTCCATTAGTCCCATTGTTTACGACGTGTTATTGGATCTTAATGGCACCTATATGTGTATAGTATGCAACGAACTTGCTTTCGAAGGGTTGGTTATATATAAAATGTATAAAAGGACTTTTCAATGTTTATAGCACATATATTGTTTATTTTATCCACC